CTCAATAAACTGACTTGGAACCGAACGTTCATAATACCAAGAGCCAGGTACGGTCACATCCAATTGGCTCAAGCTTTCGTCCATCGGATGGGTACACTGTGTACAATATGTTAAGCCACCTTTTGGTGTCCCCAATACGACAAGAATATTGCGAAAGGCAATATTTGATCTCTGGGTTTCCTATGACGCGGCCAGGAGGAGTTGGTCTACGACGTTCCGCAGTGTGGGTAGAGACACTCTATCCATGCAGGTAGGGACATTCCATTCATGATCCCTTCTTAAATATGTCATGGGATGTTGAGTTCCTCAGGGTAGATAATAAATCGTTTCACAGTGTTGCTGCAATCATGTTGACCCGTGAAATTCCGAAATTGATCTTATATCGCTGAATGCGGCGTAAAACTAAACTCACTCACCGCAATCATGCTGAAGCATCTGTCACAATACATTACTGTTCATATTTTGGGTCGTCACGCCGAAGACCCGGGTTCGAATCCCCACATGGGTACAATGTGTGAAGCCCATTTCTGGTGTCCCCCACCGTGATGTTGCTGGAATATTGCTAAAAGCGGCGTAAAACCAAACTCAGTCAGTCAGTCAGTCATATTTTTGACAGTGATATTGCCCCATTGAAGGTTTCTGTACCATGGCTCTCATCAGTCGTCTGGAAAACTATACATTTGGATTTCCATGTTGAAAGTCGCGAATAGACTAACGAATATTTGTGCCTTACACCATTGACATACCTTATTTACATAAATACCTTTGTAAATCCTCACGTGAACGTATATTAAATTTACATATCTAGACGTAGGTATAGCTACACATGTGCTTAATTACGTACAAGGTAGGCTTCACATATTACGAAGGCTTCAGCTTGGACAGCTTGCCTGCCGACACGAGGCATAACGTACACGATAGATTTCCTAGGTGGATTGTGATCTGGTAACATCACTTCACTTCACTTCACTTTATTCTCAATAGACCACCAATGGTGGTATAAGACTGCCTGCCTGACTGACTAAATATGGTTTTACGCCGCTTTTAGCAATGTTCCAGCAATATCACGGCGAGGGACACCAGAAGAGGGCTTCACACATTGTACCCATGTGGGAAGCGAACCTGGGACTTCGGCGTGACGAGCGAACGCCTCAACCACTCGGCTACCCCACCGCCCCGGTATAAGAGTACATATTACACACATCAATCATTACATACAGACAAAATGGCGGCGGAGTATAACAATATATTATAGAAAATCAGTTGTTGGTATAACGTGTCTATTATCTAACTTTTGTTATAGCAGAAAAGATAACATTTATAAACTGGGCTAGGTTTTTTAAAAGAGTAAAATCTAAGGTAGTAAACAAAATTCTATAAGACACAATATTAGAGTGTTTGAGCAATTTGGTTGATATACATTTTCTTCTAGATTCATAAAGAGCAGGACAGCGAAATATATTATGGAACGCGTCTGCAATTGCTGGCGAGTCACATAATTTACAAGTTCTATTTTCTCTTGGAATATTATTCCAACGCCCTGTCTCAATTGGTAAACAATGATTAGATGTTCTGAATTTTAATAGTGGATAATTAATACATTTGGGCAATAAGAGAAAGGCATCAAGTGATGGTAGGGTCTTAATATATTTATAGTATTGTCCCTTAGGACTTATTTCTATGGCATTCCTCCACTCTGGATAAAAGTGATCTTTTAACCTACTTTCTACCATATTCAGCAGCCATGTTCAACTAAAATTACCTGGGAACATATATACATTACTAAGCCCGCATGAGTTTAGGATATTTTCAACAAATTTAAGTCAAGAATAGGAATGATTGTTTACCACACTATCTAATGACATGAAGTTATAGATTACCTGCGATAATTTGAATTGGGACTAGGGCGTGGTGAGGTTATGCCAATAACTAATAATTCTTTTGGATACATGAATGTTGATAGGATATCTTCCAAATTCACCATATAAGAAATAATTCGGTGTAGACATTCTGAGACCAGAGGCTAATTTTAAAAACGTGGTATGTACGTTTTCAAGTATATCTATTTTACCATGACCCCCAAATTCAGAGCGGCACAACATGATAGGTAAAATCATTAAATCTAACGCTTTAAATAAATAAAGTGGTAAATCATTGTTTCTTGCCATTTTCCATAACAAAACATACATTTCCTAGCCTGTGTAGCTAGTACATTAATACAAAAAGAGAAATTTCTATTTTTGTGAAAGTTAAACCCGAAGTAGTTATAATTATCTACTATTTCAATTTCTTCTGTGCTATAGTGAAACGATAGCTTATTAACTCTACACTTGCCACTTCCAAAAACAACAATTTTAGTTTGATCACTATTTACAGTCAGTCTCCATTTCTGGCAATATACATGAAAATGGTCCAGGGACCTTTGCAGGGCTGACGCTGAGGTAGCAAATAGCACTGTGTCGTCTGTATATAAAAGTACCAGCAGTTGTAAGCAGATTACATTCATATCATAAGTATTGATGGATATATCAACACCATTACAATCAAGTGTTTTACCATGATTCTAAATCATTTATAAAGATAGAGAAAAATAACGGAGAAAGATTTACTCCCTGTCGAACCCCCGAGAAACTTGGGAAAGACGCAGACTTTTCATGGTTAAACTCAATACTGGTTTTATGTTAGAGTACATATTGTGAACTAATGGAAACAACTTTCCTTGGATACCATAAGATACCACTTTTGACCAAAGACCAACTGTCCAAACATTATCGAAGGCTTTAGAAATGTCAATGAAAGCACTTTACAATTTATGTTTATTGTGTTTTAGGAATTCAATAACTGAATTAAGGACAGAATGTTGTCAATTGTAGAGTAACCTTTACGAAAACCGGCTTGGCAAGGGGATAATAATGAGTTAATATCTAAAATCTGGATAATCTACGGTTAAGTATGCTAGTAACAAGGTTTCCAAGACAGCTCAAAATTGTAATAGGTCTACAGGAACTAGGATCACATGAGTCACCTTTACCTTTGTAGATTGGTTTAATGACCCCAATTAACCAAGATTCAGGAACTTCACCTGTGTCGAGTACAACATTAAGAGGTTTTTCTAGAAATGGAAGAAATAAGTCTATTGAGTCAATCATATAATCGTTTTCTACAAAATCTTCACTTGATGCTTTATTTCTTTTCAGTTGTGATAGTGCTTCAGGAATTTCCTTCTGTGTTATGGCAACATTAAGAACTGAGCATTCTAAGGGTACATGCATTTCATTAATATAGTCAGGAACTGTTTCATTACACCCTTGTGCGTTTATATTCTTAAAGTATTCATATAACTCTTTAAAACTAGGGAAAGAATCATTATGTGTAGACTTTCGTTTAAGCAGTAATTTCCAGTAACCCCTTAGGTTCGTCTTCTGCTTATTAGCTGCGTGGCGGTAATAGATATGATTTGCCTGATTCCTATGTCTTCGATATTTCTTTCTTGCTTTACGGTAGTGTATACGTTTCAGTGTACATTCTTTTCCAAACCAAGGTTTGTTAACTTTATTGTTCTTATCATTACCAGTATAATTATATGGACGAGAGGGACGTATGCCAAACGTATTTCTAGCTGCGTTTGTAAGAATATCGGAGAAGACAACAGTTGCCTTGTTTATGAATGCATTTGCCTTCGTATTGTCATCAACCACTTCATCTAATAATGTGCTTACATCGTGTATTTGCATAACATCAATAGTGCTCCTGTATTGGTCCTTTATTGGGTCATATCTTTTCGGTTTTGTCAATATAATTGCAGGTTTACCAGTAAATGGTTTAGGTGCCTTAGCAAACAATCTGCTATTCATGCTTGATAACGAAAATGTTATAGGGCAGTGCACATCAGAGTATAGAGGAGAAAAACCAACAATTTCAAAGCTCTCAATATATGGCAGACATCTTTTAGAACATATGACATAGTCCTTACAAGTAACGTTTCCTAATTTTGCATCTTTGTCCAATCTACCATTACAAATAAACATATAAACGTTTTGCAGATATCAATCAGTTTATGTCTGTAATTATTAATTTTACGAGGAAGACCGAGCTCTTCTAAGACAATTTCAGGGTCACAATTATATGACATTTCATCAGTGTCAATATCCAACTCTTCTAACAAATGTTTATCTAGACTTACATAATCACACAGTGTTACAGTACGAGCATTAAAATCGCCAGTAAGAATCACAGTCTTCGGCGTGACGAGCGAACGTTTTAACTACTAGGTTACCCCCACCGCCCCTGTTGCCAACATGAATGTCACTCAAATCACATTTGACGGATACTCGAACCTGAGTGCAATGTTAGTATAAGGATACCCCGATAGATCCTAAGGATATGAGAGACACATGACACTTTTTAGATGAATTATTTGCTTGCTGTTGAAGTGTAGTTGGTGAGGTGGGTATGTTTGTGGGGTGTTTGGGCAGTATGGATATATTTCATCACTGTCAAAATGTGTGTTTTTCAGATATTTTGTCTCAAATTGCCCCAATACGTGAGAAATTGGTGGTCTCCGTTGTTGGACGATAGGCTAGAACATCATATGTGAAAATTAGCATACGCAAATAGTGACAAAGAGATAGCATTGTACGTTTTTTACAAACATACCCGGGCCATCGGGTGTTAACAAATAGCCCACCCCATCGTCCTCAACATCTGAGTAAGCTAGGTAAGGAAACGCATCTGATCTGTTGAAAGGATAATAACATCAACAAAGTAGGGTCACTGGTTATGTACATTTATTTTGAATATGAATAAATGAGAATCACTCTTTCAGCATGTTAACCAATGTATACAAACATAGGACAATGTCTCGAAGTGGTTCAGATTCCACTAGGGCATTCACTGAAGCGGTTATCTGGAGATGACATCTTTGAGACCGACACAGGCGGTCGAATGACGGTTATCTCCCTTGATCCCCATAAAATGACAGCGTCTGCTACCACCGTGAGTTAGCCATGTCGAACATTACGTCCCCCAGTTCCGCTCCCACATGTCCGTCTGCACTGGTTGAGGGTGGTGAAACGGTTGCTGTTGCCGCCGCATCCACTATAGGAGAAACTATGACAACCTCCCAGTTGCCCGTCGTAGTAGTAACGGGTGTACATGTTGCTTTGACAAGTGCCAGGGTCCGGGTTCAGATGGCAGACTGGAGACAGAGGTTGTTTAATACAGTTGTTTGTAACGTGTGGCAACTTACTCTTGCTTGAAGATGAGCGACTGAGTTCAGTTAACGCAATTTTGAACAGTTTTCCAGGCCACATACGTAAAAATAGCAATAACGTTAAGGCTTCGCCTTTGTTTTGTGAATCTTGTTTCAGTATCTACCGAGATCAAGAACTTAACCACAAAAGCTATTCACTTTAGTTACGTAAATAGGCGGGCCAAAGAAACTATTCACATTAAATTGGAATCAACCGAAACACTACAAACGTTATGAAAGTAGTCGGCGAAACATTGCAAATTCCACAACGCAACTATGATATTCGTATCAAATATGTTAACTATTTTTGTTCTTTCAATATAGCCATTATCAAACATGGGTGAATACATTCTTTCGCCCGGCAGTTTACTTGCTTTCAAAATATTGTAATGAGCAAAACGCAAAGTAGGAAAAAATACATTAGATTACAGTTAAAATTAAATACTTTACCAAAAAGAACCCCATCTTGAACGTAAGCGAAAACAATATGCAACAAAACCATTCAGTAAAATTTTCAAGCATGCATCAAAATCTAAAATCTCTACTACCCGTTACGATCCGGTTAGAATTGGTCTTCAGTAACCCACGCTTGTCGTAACTGGGATCAGGTTGTCAGGCTCGCTGACTTGGTGGACACATGTCATGCGCATGATGTTGATCTCTGGATGGTCCAGACTCGATTATTTACAGTCTGCCGCCTTATAACTTGAATATTGCTGACTGTGGCGTTAAACAACAAACAAAATACAAACCTCTACTACACTATGAGTGAATAAGTGAGTGAGCTGGGTTTTACGCCCACAAGGACTTACTTTGACTTTCAATGCCCGCATTTCCGCTTGTTCCAAACGAAGAGCTACCTCCAGTCAGTCCACCCGTATGACCTCCACCCAGTCCATTGACGTGTCCACCCGGTCCATGAACGTGTCTATCTAGTCCATTAACTCCACGGACATGTCCATTTAGTCCATGTTCGTGTCCACCTGGTCCATGAATGTGTCCACTGATTCCTCCTACTCGTCCATTTAGTCCATGAACGTGTCCACCCTGTCCATGAGCATGTCCACCCAGGCCATCAATGTGTCCACCTAATCCATCAACATGTCCAGCCGGTCCATGAACGTGTCCATCAAGTCCATGAACGTGTCCACTGAGGCCATCAATGTGTCCCCCCAATCCATCAACATGTCCAGCCGGTCCATGGATGCGTCCATCCAATCCACTATTTATTCCACCACCTAGTCGACCATCGATGATAGAACCACCAAGTCCGCCATTAAGTCCACCATTGAAACCACCATTAATACCACCGCGAGGCACACAGTAGGATGTCCATCGGTCCACATACTCGCACACAGTCTGACGGGGGCATTGCTGCAATGATATGGTAAAATATTCAGTATAGAATAGTGTTTTTTCTCTCAAACGTTTGCGACTTTAATGAAAGAAGTGCATTTTAAGGCATAAATTTTCTCAAACAAGTAGCTGTCACGATACAGTAAAATGCCCTGTTAACCAAAGTATACAATACATAGGACAATGGTTTAGATACCACCGTCTTTACTGAAGTGTGTATCGGGAGAATATCATCTTTGAGAACAACACAGGCGGGCGAATGACAGTTATCTCCCTTGATCTCCCTACAATTACAGCGTCTACTGCCACCATGATTTAGTTCTGTTCTTTCAGAAAGGACACAAGGGCTTCTCTTTTTCTGACAAGGTCACCCATTGATCCGAGCAATACTACCAATTTCGGTTTTTTAAAAATAACTTTCCGATTATTTACGGATTATGTATTTATTTAGCAGCTTATTTACTGTCTTTAATGGAACAATATGGAAAACATCATTGGTATGCATGTTATGTCTCCCTGATTGTGGAAAATGTGTACCGTCGTCTTGTGCGGTCTACTCACCTTGTACAGGTATGATCATGCGTGTCAAGTCTGTCATTATTACATCCATTACGGTTTTCATGTCATCAAAAGACGACGCAGCGGTGATTGATCATGGCGCTGACTATACACATACCCTCGGGGCCACTGACGCATTATCTTGCTATTATTACAACATTTATTCTTTGGTGATTGATAGGATGTTCTATAAGGGAAAAACAACGCCTAATAACCCTGAACGCTTACGATAGAAATTCAGGGTCATTATCATATTAGATATATTTCATCACCCATTTGTCCATTCGTATCTTGATTATAATTCATGTATTTTCATTTTCATGTACTACTAATTTCTTCGATTATTTCCTAATTTAAAGAACATTTTGAATTATTTTATAATATAAACTCCAACGATAGAGAAAAACCAATCTCGCGTATCTGCTGAGTCCACAAGGAGTTAAATGCAATACAGCGTGAAAAGTATGGAAAATTGAAATCAATGATGACACAAGGTGCGCTCAGAGGGTAATCATATCCCGCGCTGTCAGTGTACCACCAATATAATTCGCATGGAAATTAGTGTTTGTATCTTGCCTAAGGCCACAGAGTAGTATTTACGGCGGCCTGTAAAGAAACAGTAGTGACTCAATGGAGATCTAAGCCTGACGTAAGGAACAGGTATCTGTATTCCTCCTGTCTTATACATATTTCTCTATAACTTGCTGCTGTTACGATGAAATTGAATATTTTTTCTAAATTATCCCTTATATATTTTCATGACGTATATCAGTTAAAGTACACTACTGTGCTGTACCTCTTTGTTTAAAAGTTAAATGTCAAAATATTTGCCCTTTTAGACATGCTAGATGATTTTTTACACTTTATTGTTTTAGCCTTCTGTTTTGATTCATTTGACTTACAACTTATTTCCATGACTTATTCAATTATCACGAAAAAGAGGTACTTTTATAAGAAAAAAATCAAACAGTTTGTCTGTCCCCGCACACTAATTGTACAGGATACAGTAAAGATAAATAATTGACTATTTCTGTTGCATCCTTACCCAGCAATTCCTGACACGCGTTCTTCTGTTAGACGCACCTCCCAACCCAAGGGCCGTCAGAATACGCCTTACTGCAAGGGGGTTAAACTGGCCCAAACGGCTGACCAATCTCCTGAGAGTGCCTCTGAAACCCCTCCCTCGTCCTCTCCTGCCGCCGATGCTGTTGATGCCACGGCTTCCACCAATACCGCCAGGGCCATGCTCAGGTTCTGGGATCCCTATTCCAGCATACAAAATGTCATTACAATTCAAGTCATGCTCACCTATTTGGGGTAACCATGGAATGTGCCTCAATGTCCGAACCTGTATGTCCGAATCTGAGATACAAGACAACTCTGGCTATATATTACCCAGGAATGTTAACAAATGTGAAAACTCTCGGGCTTGAAAATACTGGACGGCTAAAGAAAGCATACACTTGGAAGCATGATTTTACCGAAACCTATAAACGTCATGTAAACGTGATATATATCCCTCCAATAATCATTCATTTTTCCCATTTTAGTCACTATCGAACATGAGCATAAATAAATATTTTCAAGGCAGTTAGTACCAATAAACCTTACATGGCAAATCGCACAAAATAGTACTTACAGGCATCGTATTATATTAAACTGGACAGACGTACCTGCTCCAATTCCATGACCTGGCTCGGCAATGGCACCTAAAACATGACGTGTTGTTAAGAAACGTATTATTAACTATCTAAAACAAATATATCTACTAATAGACCACTATCGAATATGAGCGTAAATATATATCATGGCCTGATAGTTAGTACCAATAAACCTTACATGGCACATACCACAAAATAGTTCCACAGCATTCACAACAGAAACAAACAAAACAAAAATACCCCTAAAAATGTGTGATTTCTTTCTTTATCGAGCGTCAGCGTAACGCACATCCAACCCAAAGATGAGAAAAACGGATTTGCGACAATTCCAAGAACTGGCTTTGGAATTGTATATGACGTAAGGAAATATATAAGAATAACTATTTAAAAACAAACGCTTGCACTTTTTCGCAGTTCAAAATCCCATTCTACTGACGTCATTATGGAATATACATTCATACATTATGGAATATATGATATCTTTTTACCTGCCCCTATTCCGTGTTCGGGCTCAGGTAGTGGCCCCACTCCAAATCCCGGCTCTGGGAGTACACCTATAAACAAATATCACGATGTCTTTATGTTCACGATCACTGTGATCAAGATATTCAAACATAGTTATCCTGTTTGAAAACACCGGCTTCATTTTCAACATAAGATAATCAAGATCTCTTTCCCTCCAAATACGTGTGATGTCGATTATATGTCATATAAATATAGTATTTCATAACTGAAAGCTTTCTTAAAAGTCGTATTTTTTCAAACTATTGCATCATTTGTGTATTTATTCATGTTATCTGTTAGGAACCCAGCCTTCGATTGGAAACGAATATATTCATAACCAGAATATCAATTGTTATATAAAGACATTCTTTAAGAAAACAATCTTATCCATATCCTTTGTAAGTTTTAACTTCGGAACCCAATGGGGAAATTCTTATGAAAGGACACTGAAACGAAAACGAATTCAGGGGTCTCCTCGCCATAACCCTCGCAAACGCACGTTTAGAGTAAGAGATAATGTAACCAAAATTAGATTGTCTCAACTATCACATTAACTAAATTGGAAACTTTATATTCTGGACATATCAACAAAAATATGAGCTATTTATAATTGACACATATTCATTCATTCATTATTATCTTAAAGTGGATATTTTTAGGGCTATCCTTTATGAAATCCTGTTCCATGTTTGATATGAACAGATGGAAATAAATATGTAAAGGACATAATTAATTTACCCGTAAATACTAAATACCTTGTCATAGTAACATCTCGTGTTGTGCACCACATCATATATGTAAATGACGAACAGTTGGAGCTACCCGTAAGAGACAATTGGTGCAGTATTCCACATTACACCCAAGTAAGGGATCAACTATGACAGATAGCTATCCTTGCATGTGTTGAGTAAAAGGCAGAGTAGTTGAAGACCGACATAGCCGCTCGACATTGTTTTTAGTCGGGGTTTCTTGATACTATTCATGTGCAATCCTATTTTCTGATATATAATATATAATAAGTTATTGCGTTTTACAGAGACCCGACTATAGACGAAAGCTAGAAAATAGTTTTTTGTCAACACAACTGGTACTCTATCAAATATCCAATCCAGAAATGAGACAGACACACTGACCTGCTCCAAGTCCATGGCCTGGCTCGGGGACGACACCTTAAACATGATGATTGATGTGTAAGGAAATGTAGAATAAAACCAACAAGTAAAACATGTTTAATAATTATGAACATAAACATCCATTATTAGCAAACTATAATGTTTTGTTATCTTGAAATATTAATGTTCATGATACATAACACAAAATCCCAGTTTACTCATGTCATTATGGAATATACTTCACGCTAAAATAAATAATGATATTTTACCTGCCCCTATTCCATGTTGGGGCTCAGGTAGTGGCCCCACTCCAAATCCCGGCTCTGGGAGTACACCTATAAACAAATACACATATTACGATGTCTTTATGTTCACGATCACTGTGATCAAGATATAGTTATGTGCGAAAATATAGTCCTCATTCTCAGCACAAGATAAGATCTCTATTCCTCCAAATGCATGTGATGTCGACGATATGTATGTGTTTTTCTACTGTCCCTTTTCTTTTGACAGTGAAGGATTGATACCTCTGAGACATTGGCATTTCATTTGTCAGTATTGAGAGGGCCTCTGTTAGTAATATTCGAAACTGAATGTATTCACCCTTATAGAAGAAGAAGGGTGGTTTGAGGCTTTTACATATTAATATAGTGAATAATCAAGGTAGTTTCATTACCTGATCTTATTCCATGTGTGATGTGGATAGCTGGAAACAAATATAAAATGCATACAAATAAAAAACGTGTACACAGTAATATATCATGTTGAGCACAGCATCTGGTATCTCAAAAGCCAGATCCCATATCTTGCTACAATGTTACCAGTATGTTTGTATTGTGCCGTGTGGCGGTGACTGGTTAACCTGTTCTCACCTGACGTTTCTGTTCCAGTTCGAGGGTTCCCTACTATGATGCAGACGAGTACTACAGGTGATGTAAAAGACACTGGGTGTATTCCACATTGTATTTTAGTAGGGGATCAGCTTTAACAAGCAGCTTAATAGTAAAATACCAAAATGCACATTTTTGAAACCATGTAATACATTACAAATTACTCGTGTTGAACACGTAGACCGTTTCAATGCATAATGTGGTATATGGAATACGTGTGTAGTCATCAGTGTGATTTCAGAATGCATTGACAGATGTAACCAGCTGTATTCCGAGATCCGACTTTATTTTCAAAGACAAAGTATTGCACTGTTATCAATGTCATAATGGGTACTAGAGTTTCCCTTGGAAAATCGATTTAGGAAATAGGATTAATTCTCACAGGATTACTAGATATACGGTAAAACAGGTATGTTTGGAATAGCCTATGCAATGGAGTCGACGACAATATGTTTTACACTATTGAAATAGTATCATAACTATGGAGTTCAGTTGGTTTGTTTGCTTGTTAGTAAGTTAGTTCTTTAGTTTGCTGTTAATGCACCATTCAGCAATATTCCAGCTACAATATTCCAGCTGGCCTAGTGGTTAAAGCGTTTGCTCGTCACGCCGAAGACCCGGGTTCGATTCCTCACATGGGTACAACGTGTGAAACCCATTTCTGGTGTCTCCCGCCGTATATTGCTTGAATATTGCTAAAAGCGGCGTAAAACTAACCTAACTCACTCACTCACTCGTAGCTTCAGTTTGTTGTGAACGCCACACAAAGCAACATGAGCATCGATCTTTCCAATGAGGATTCAATTACAACAAAGTCAGTGAGTCTTATTACAGTCAGTATTGTACTTCCGGGGTCGGGACTTAGAGTGGAACCTATTAGTCGCCTCTAACGACAAGCATGGGTTGCTGAAGACCAATTCGAACCCGGATCTTAACGGGGAAGTGTTTTGGGGAAAGGAAGGCATACACAACTGGATACTGTACCTGGTTCGGGTTTTGGAATCACACCAAATCCAAAAACTGAAAGAGAACAATATTTCTTTGTAAGAATCTGTAAATATGGGACGCTTCTATATGATAACATTTCTTATTTGTGTCTGAAAGTATGTATTTGAGTGTCGTTTAATGCCCAAGACAGCAATATTATACAGCCTCGGCTGGACAGACATGGCGTTGATATTATGAACAATGTCCCGAGACGTAGGTATACAATGAAACACAAGCAACAAGTCACCGAGCGTGACAAACAATCTAAATAATGAAGTAGTATTGTTTGCAAATACCGCACAAAGATCAGGGGATATCCTTTAACAGGTCACGCCAGAACGACCTTTCATCTGACCGATCACTTACCAAATATAGACAATGACATCTGACAATGACAAGGCATTCCGAACCACATTTACATGCTGTGCGGCTCATTCTGTCAAACTCATCGTTATTTAGTTCTATTAAATAATCACATGAACGGAAGAAACAGTGCAATACTTATAATATCGGCCATCTAGAATTAAGGAATTCTCTTTCCTTCAGATGTTTAAACTGCAGAAACTAGCCTGGAATGGACGTCTCAAGTTAAAACTCGTGCCGTAAAGCTCGAGAATGATTGCTTATGTCGACTTCATTTCATTAGATCTGTGAGTAACGCTAACCAGCACCAAAATCTAATTTAATGAAATTGGCTTTTAATTACTGCTGGTGAATGTTATTTGCAGAAAATATTTTTCAACTTCTAAATCGGAATCTCAGTTTTATCGAACTATCAATAAATAAAGTTTGGAGTCGTGGCCATTTCTCCACAAAAAATGTAATCTAAGTGTAGAAATACCACTGTTCGATGAATTACATAGTTTAAAACTAAACAGGCATATACGACGGTAGTAAAATATAGAACAGAGCTGTGAATGCCTTCACTAAAATAAATAACAAGTATTCATCGTTATAAGAATTAATATATTCAAGATAGGAGTACATTGTCATACGAAACAATTTTGTTTGACGAATATATAGTTGAAACACAAATAAGAATATTCACCTGTGGTAAAAGAAAGAATAAGTACTGTAAGTGCCCTCATGTCAACGGTCCAAGCCTAATGTTGTAGAGGGTGTATGCAGTAGCCCTATATAGAAGCTTGTATGTGGAGCTGGTGACACTGTGATATTGATGGCCATATAATGTCCCAGTCACTGTCGCCCTCTAGGCATTCACGTCACTGTTATTGATGTCTCCGTGTACGTCAACTATGGTATTACACAATGTAGCACTAAGTAAGTGTCCATTTTTGACACATTGCCATCTGTATTGTCTCAGCTGAGCCTATGAACGCTTCCTTCTGACCCGGGCCACGAAGTCAACACACCTCTTTTTTCGTAAACAATTTATCATCTTTGCATTTTCTGCAGACTAGATTTACCCCTTCGTTGCAGGAAAAAGAGTTCTGGCTCTGTACGATGTATCGCTGGTCAGGCTGAAAGGACCATATATATTCATTATGTATTTGAACTCGCTTACTCAGTGAGAAGTTCTTTGTTATTGGTCTTCAGTAATATAGTCGTATCTCTTATCATCGTTCTAAATTGAGAATGAGTTGTTTTATATTGTTGTTTGATCAGAGTTACCTCATCTAAATGGGTGTCCATTTTTGACACATTGTCCTCTGTATTGTTTCAGCTGAACCCATGAACGCTTCCGTGTGACCCGGCAACGAAGTCAACACATAAAACTAACCTTTATGTTTTGGTAAACAATTTGTCATATTAGCATTTCTTGCAGACTAGATTTACTCCTTTGTTGTAGGAAAGAGAGTTCTGGTTTCGTATGTCCTGCTGGTCAGACTGAACGGAAGGACAATACTCGTCGTCACAATGTACTAGTATCTTTTTATGTATTTGAACTCTCTTACTCAGTATAGCTCTTCGTGTTTGTTAATGTCAACACGTGACTTGCCTTTGCGTGTGTTTGTGACAAGTACCGCCATAATGGGGAGGATATGGTAACCTTAAACGAATGCTAATGATGGATCTCGTCGTAATCGTACAATGGTCTTCTTGGATATTGTCACCGTTTTAAACGAATACTTTTGATGGATCTGGTTGGAATCGTACAATGGTCTTCTTTTGGTATTGTTTTCGTTATTATAATTATAGAATGGATTTTGTCGGTTATATTGGCCAACTTTGAGAGCAACATATACATGACGTTATAGGCGACTATATTGATCGGGGTCGACGTCATCACGTCGTTGATTGCGTGTCATCAAACCTTAAAGGTGTGGACCGTTGTTCGCAGTATCAGTCATTATATTGTCCCATCCAAACATCAACTAGTGCTGGAATATATATGAATAATATTGTCTCCATTAGGCGAAGCAATAACGGGCAAATGTACTACAAGAGGGATGAATTCGAATTTACAGTCGTCTGGCTTTGGTGTTTAGATTAACCTTTAATTATACATGCAGGTTTTGCTGAGATAAAAATATTTCTTTTCGAAAATAATCGTTTACGTTGAATTTGAAAGGCCATATGTGAGTAATTGAAGAGGTTTTAATCTGCTTTCAATACTTTTCCAGCATTGTCACGAAACGCCAGGACACTCCAACCACTCCACCCCAAAAATAAAACAACAACAACCAAAACCAAAACAAAACAAAAACAAACCCAACAAAACAACAGCAAAAAGAAAAGAAAACCAAAAACGCAACATAAAAGATACCCTGTGACCACAACTCATGGCTTCCTTCCACTTGATCAAAAGTAAAATATATTTACAACAATGGAAGTCAATCATGTTCATCGATTACATCGTTAAGGCAATACACACATCAGTTTTCACAGACTGTTATTACCTTGCCAGGTATGACAGGTGCTAATTGAGGAGTGTCGGTGACGCGTTGTACCTTCAAATACCTCTTTAGATCAAAGCCTTGAAACGAAACAGACATCAACGAAGACTACCACGACAGTTGATATGGAATGTAATAACTTATATTTGTGGCAGGGGCCTCGGGCTGACCCACTCTACGAGCCAATCATATTTATTCTTTAAACGGATCCTTCTGTCGTCAGTGTCTATAATGATGCCTTGAATACGTTATACTTTAGATAAGGAAGGGAAATCAAAGTATGGGTACGTTTTTATGGTAGACACTAGATTATCATTGGAAAATGACGTGGACAAACTGTTACAGTTACATTATTTGTCGTTAGAGGCTGTATGGTAAATCCTGGGGCCTGGGGCCACCCGTGTCTTCACGTTCTACTGGCTGAGTTCAGTCTCTGTTCTTAAGGTATGGTGCATGCGCCAAGTCTTTGTCTTCCGGGTCAGATGGCTGTGTTCAATTTGCCTTCGTAGTCTTGTCCTTGTGTGCACCACTTCTTCTTGTCTATAGCACGTGTTCAGCCAGTGTCTTCCCCATATGGTGCATGTGCCCAATTTGTGTCTTCACTGTGGCGCATCTGTCCAGTTTGTGTCTTCACGGTGCAGTACATGTGTCCAGTTTGTGTCTTCACTGTGTGGCGCATGTGTCCAGTTTGTATCTTCATGGTGTGGTGCATGTGCCCAGTTTGTGTCTTCACTGTGTGGTTCATGTGTCCAGTTTGCGTCTTCACTGTGTGGCGCATGTGTCCAGTTTGTATCTTCATGGTGTGGTGCATGTGCCCAGTTTGTGTCTTCACTGTGTGGTTCATGTGTCCAGTTTGTGTCTTCACTGTGTGGCGCATGTGTCCAGTTTGTATCTTCATGGTGTGGTGCATGTGCCCAGTTTGTGTCTTCACTGTGTGTGCGCATGTGTCCAGTTTGCGTCTTAATGATGTGGCGCATGTGTCCAGTTTGTGTCCCCACGGTGTGGCGCATGTGTCCAGTTTGTGTCTTCACGGTGTAGTACATGTCCAGTTTGTGTCTTCACTGTGTGGCGCATGTGTCCAGTTTGTATCTTCATGGTGTGGCGCATGTGTTCAGTATATGTCTTCACGATGTAGTACATGAATCTAGTTTGTGTCTTCATGCTGTGGTGCATGTGTCCAGTTTGTGTCTTCACGGTATGTTGCATGTGTCTTGTTTGTATCTTCCTTGTGTGGTGCATGTGCCCAGTTTGTTTCTTCACGGTGTGGTGCATGTGCCCAGTTTGTTTGTTCATCAAATGGTTCGTATGTCATATCTGTATTTGTTTGGTTGTACAAAGTTCTAGTCGAACATGGATCGAATGTATTGCGTTCATGACGCATATAAGTGAGCCTAGCGCCACGTCAGTATATTGGTGTGGGAGTCAATAGCGGAACGGTAATCTGTCAGTGAGTGGTAAATTTATGAGGTTCTGTTAAAACGGTAACCTCTGATAAATAACTATAAATAAATAAATTCACAAGCGGGTTGGTGAGACTGAACCATATAAAAATCGACACTTAAAACTCTGAACTGCCCAATGAACAGCCCAGTTTAACGCGATGATGAAGTTCTTGTTGTTGCACCGTCGGAATAACAAAATTGATTATATTCAGATTCTGTTACAAATTCTGTATGAGTGGCAGTGACTATAGAACTGGTGTATGCGTGGGATAGCAATAGGCATTACAGGTTTGTGGTAATAGTCTGTTGGCCACCTTACTTGAGACACGTTCTGGGAACAAGATATCATCTTAAAGGTAAAAGATTGTCTGAATGGCCAGAAACACACACACACACACACACACACACACACACACACACACACACACACACACACACACACACACACACACACACACACACACACACACACACACACACACACACACACACACACACACACACACACACACACACACACACACACACACACCAATCAAACATGCGATATACTCGCAGTCTGTAAATACTACACTGTAAGAAGTGCCTGAAACCACAAGGACTGATCCAAGGCATCATTGGAATGAACACACAACATGACTGATCGATAGTTTTTAGTCGGTTCATAGGTTCGTAGTACTTCATGTCTTGTATAGTTGGTCTGGGATTTTGACATGTTTTGATAGGTGGACATTCCGTTCATTCTGAAGTTGTACATCACTTGTTGCAAAATTCCACCATTTTGGGGGCGAGGGGAGCCATGAATGTGCTTTCCATATTGTATCAATATTCAGAATCGAATCCGCTCGTTTGTTCCAAATCGCCAAAATAATAATAATGGCATTCATATTGCGTCCAGGCAGGGACCAACAAGTACCATATTTTAACGTCTTTTGGTATGACGCGGTCGGGGATCGAACCCGCGACCTTCCGCTCTCCGGGCGGACGCTCTAACGACTACACCACGGAGGCGGTCAGACTTTGAATGAAGGTGTAGCTGTCAGTGATATATTTGTCTCGATTTGATTTTATGCAGATGACATCGTTCTAATAGCCCCCACCGAAGAAAAGCTACAGCAAATGCTTGACGTTGTCACCTCCTGGTGCAGAAGATGATGTTTGTGTGTAAATGAGGATAAACGAAAATTATTCACTTCAGAAAGGACTTCTCCATACGTTCAGATGTTCAATGTAGATGTTGTAATCATGTGATTAGTTACGTTGAATCCTACAAATATTTACGGCTTTGCTTTCATGGGCATCTAAACATGAAGCATGCTGTGAGAGAACTGGCAAAAAGTGCCCAAGAGAACCCCATCATTGCTTATTACGAAGTACAGACTGTGCGGTGATATGGCCTATGACGTATACAGGAAACTGTACGAATCGACTGTTGAGCCCATCCTTTTGTATTGTGCGCCGATTTTGGGTATGTATAGCCATCGTGAGATCAGCAACGTACAAAACAGAGCTTGCAGGTTTTTCTTGGGCGTGCCTCGCAATACGAGGAACACTGTGACCCATGGAGAAATGGGGTGGCCTACCTGTTTCACTAAACAACGAACAGATGTTTTACGTTTTTATATCAAGCTACGAAACACTGACAGACTGATCACTAAACGTTATAACTGAAAAGGAAGAAGAGGTTCGATCGCTTATACAGCACAACGCTTATGCAGAAAACTAGGCATTAAGTGTAATACCACCGACACTACTGGACATACAATAAGAGACATGAAGAGACGTCTGATGAGACTGGATGAAGAAGATTGGTTTAGGGATCTTTGGAATGATAAAGGCAACGTAAACGGAAACAAGCTCAGTGACAGGACTTACAGATTATTTAAAAAGATCGACCCCAGAGACATACTTAAAGGCTATAGTTAACAGAAACGCAAGACGAAATCTCACCAAACTAAGCTGCGGTAATCTTGCTCTCCATGTCGAAAGAGGATGATACAACAAAGCACCCACCCCCCCCACCCCCACACTGAATCAGAGAATATGCCCATTTTGCAGCAGTGTAGAGGATGAAATCCACTTCCTTTTAAATTGCCATTTTCACAATGACTTATTCACAATGACTTATTAGATATTTCCGATTTTCAAACTTTTCAACGTTTAAATGCTTTTGTCATCAGGTCCATATATTTTATATATTTTAGCAATTTCTGTTAATGAAATGTTCAAAAGAAGAGATATTTTAACCTAAGGTTATGTATATATATGGTTTTATAAAAACCTTTCTATGATGCATATTTTTAACCCCTAGATAACAGTGTCTCATAAGCCTGTTAAGGCTTGATGTATGTAAATGTGTTTAATGTATATGTATTTTATTTCTTGTTTACATACATGTGACACTTTAATAAACTATGTCTGTCTGTCATATTTTCTGCTGGGTGAACAGAGGCAATTTTTAACAAACTCACTTCACAAAATGAAGGAATACACGATGCACTAATTCCTTAGGTCATGAGGATCTGAAGCTAAGACAATATGAAAATATGGACATTGCTTGAATTTGAAAAGTGAATATTTACGAAAACATATCATAAATGAATATAGCAGGTACATCGTGAGTTATTCTTTATTCTCCATTACACTGCCCAACAGAGCGGCAACTACTTCCCAATCACATGACCGTGGTGGTTTCCGTTTCCGGTGTGTGGTGGTGTCGGGGTAAGTTGGGGGGACTCGCACAACTTCAAGCACTCGTCTTCCGTCTTGAAGTTGTTGGAGTTACCCCCGCATCCGCTGTAGGGGAAGATGAGGCACTTGCTTTGGAACATGTCGAAGTAGTACCGGCTCTCGGCACCGTGGCAGTGACCGCTCACCGGCGGCAACAAACACACTGAAGAGTATCACATAGGTTGTTAAAACTGCCCGTACACACGAGTCATTATTATTTCCAAAAGCGAACGAGAATTCAGCGTGAGTTAGTTTTTTCATTACATTAGCACATTATATTGTATGAATGTAATGAGTGAGTTTGGTTTTACGCCGCTTTCAGCAATATTCCAGCAATATCACGGCAGGGGACACCAGAAATGGGTTTCTCATATCGTACCCATGTGGGGAATCGAACCCGGGTCTTCGGCGTGACGAGCGAACGCTTTAACCACAAGGCTATTCCACCGCCCCATGAATGTGTAATGGATGAATATTACCAATATCGACAGATCAAAAGTGGGTACAAAACAGACCGTTTTCAAATAGTAGTCAATAAGTTTAACAAAAACGTTCATGCATATTGGATATAGATTACGTTTGGTGTAAAGAGCAAAAGGTCGTGAGAATCATATGCATAGATATCATTGGGAAATTGGCCTCTCAAAATTCATGAGCCTTTTCAGTGTTCAGGTGACACGTCTTTACAGTACAGACCACGATCTTGAGCCCTTTTTAACCTATTGGCACTAGACAGATTAAGATGGGGGTTAAAGACAACAAGCAGAAACAGACCCTGTTATATTTTCTGACCGGAGATACGTAACTACTTTCCTGAGTGAGATGGACAACTGTCTTCTACAATTAGTTTCGTTGGTTTGTTGTTTAACGCCGCACTCAGCAATATTCCAGCTATATGGCGGCAGTCTGTAAATAATCGAGTCTGGACCAGACAATCCAGTGATCAACAGCATGAGCATTGATCTACGCAATTGGGATACGATGACATGTTGGTCAACCAAGTCAGCGAGCCTGACCATCCGATCCCGTCACTCGCCTCTTACGACAAGCATGGGTTGCTGAAGACCAATTTTTGACCCGGGTCTTCACGGGTCTCTTACACTTTGTGAAATACCAAACATATTATAACTTTCCGATGTTTCACGAGGCTACTCATTGAACTCAACTAAAAAGAATCAAAACCATGCAAGCATGTTACTGCGACTAGAAATATAAAATAAAAATGAAATTTCTTTGATATAAAATGTTTTTAAATGACGTTTGACTAAAAAATATTAAAACCCCTTTCAATAAAAAATACTCCTTTGCGCATGTGCTTCTGAACTTTACAAACGAGTATTGTCTATGTAAACATATCGCGTTAATCCAAGTCATTATCAAAGGACGTATCATAATCCAGTAGGTTTGATTCAAGTTGATTGAATTCTCATATATTTTGCTGAATGATTTATATTATATTATATTTGAAGAAATCATGGATACACTCTATTTACTGAACGCATTTGTGTGCGTTTAGTCTGACGCCGCTTTCAGCAATATTCAAGTAATATCACGGCGGGTGACACCAGAAATGGGCTTCACACATTGTACCCATTTGGGAATAGAACCCGTGTCTTCGGCCCGACGAACGAACGCTTTAACCACTAGGCTACCCCATCGCCGATATACTAAACGGAAAGAGGCAGTGGTAATAAAACCTGTATCACAACATATTATTCTTGATGTTTCAAACGTATTTCACTGAGGGAAGTAACTTCAAAACCGTGAACGCATTGTGCAGCCACATTTGTTTACAGAACCATCCACTTATTGGGAACCGTGTAGTTTCGTGGATAGAACGACTTCCAAGAGAGCAGAATTTGTAACTAAAACAGATATACACACTATTAATTCATCTTGTATACAGTGAACACTCCCAAACAGCAGGTGGATATTCTTAGTCTAGATTCAGAAGTGCACCTGGCAATTCCCACAATGACTTACTCTTAGAAAGGTGAAGGTCGTTTAACTGACGTCTTTAATTAGAACGGCCGTCTTACCTATATCTGAAAACAAAAACAAATCATATAACTACAGAATCATAAATTGTGTTGACTTTCTGATGCAAGGAACATTCTGAAAAAAGTAAACATAGAAACACCCACTCGATCGATTCGGGGCAACAGAATATAACAGTTTTGTTATGCTTCATTTCTGTTTCTACTCTCATCTAGCACCACGGATTAAAAGAATACAAAAAGACAATTTAAGTTTCACCTGAGTCATAGCTAGTAAACACCTCATGTCTCAATATCCTGGCATTTTCTTTAACGGGTTCAAAGATACCAGAATGTTAGATGTTTAGTTTCAAACTGACAGACAAACTAATTTTTTTACGTTACGAATATCGGTTTTCAGTTTAAAAACGTCATGGAACATATATAATCCGACTCACCCAGTACCGTCAGTAGCACTTACCATAACTGTCGATTCGTGACACGCAACTGAATATGACCAATAAGGCGACTGTGGACGCCCAGACTCGGTTCATAGTTGTTGGTGTAGGAGAATGGGACTGAACTCGAACAGTAGGCTGCACTATATGGCAGTCAGGTCTGGTGTGTAGCAAGCAGTGTGGTGCTGCATGTCGTGACAAGGGCCAGATAAGCTACAGGCCAGGTACATCCTGACACTGTGTGTCTCGCGACAGTGAAGAGATAACGAGCTGGAGACAGACTTTTCTGAGAATGAAATAACTGTCCTGTCCTAGAATGTGCTCTGTCCCAGAAAAAAAGGTATTTCTTTTGTGGCAGAGTGTGACTCACATTGTAATTGGTGTTTATCCTGTTGGGGGGTGACTGTTAATGTGCGTGGTGTTTGTCCTGCCCCAGGGCGTGAATCTCTTGGAACTGGGTATTTCTCTTGTATCGTGTGACTCACAATACGCTTGGTGTTTGTCCTGCCCCAGGGCGTGAATCTCGTGGAACTGAGTATTTCTCTTGTATCGTGTGACTCTCAATACGCTTGGTCCAACCAGTGTTCATGCAGGTAGCAAAAGCACTGTAAGTCCCCATTGTCACTAGTATGGTGATCTACGAAAACCTTCAGTTGTTGGCAACCTATAGCTCGTTTTTATATTGTATTTCTGAGAATGAAATAGCTGTCCTGTCCTAGAATGTGCTCTGTCCCAGAAAAAAGGATATTTCTTTTGTGGCAGAGTGTGACTCACATTGTAATTTGTGTTTATCCTGTTGGGGGGTGACTGTTAATGTGCGTGGTGTTTGTCCTGCCCCAGGGCGTGAATCTCTTGGAACTGAGTATTTCTCTTGTATCGCGTGACTCTAAATACGCTTGGTCCAACCAGTGTTCATGCAGGTAGCAAAAGCACTGTAAGTCCCCATTGTCACTAGTATGGTGATCTACGTATACCTTCTGTTGTTGGCGACCTATAGCTCGTTTTAATATTGTATTGTCTTCATAAATAAAATAGTTTTACATGTACATGCTAGTTTTAGGCTCCACCTGTGATACTCTAGTTATTTTACAGTCCTTCGATGACTGATTATTTAGCAGCCTAAATTTATTGTTTATGTAATACATTTCTAGTCACTATATGGCTGAAATATTGCCGAGGTGACGTTAAATTTTAACTCACTCACTCACTCACTCAGGCGTGAATTTCTTTGAACTGGGTATTTCTCTTGTATCGCGTGACTCTCAATACGCTTGGTGTTTGTTGTGCCCAAGGCGTGAATCTCTTGGAACTGGGCATTTCTCTTGTATCGTGTAGTGGTGGTGGTGGAATTGGGTTTAACGTCGTGCTTGAGAATATTTCGCTCATATGACGACGTGCATGCGTGTGTATGTGTATGTGCGGATGCTTGTATTAGCCCAGACTTAAGCTGGTTTTATAGTGCTAGCCCACTGAGATACCATGCCGCAGTGAAGCATGAATACCCCACTCAGACACATTACACTGACTCCGAGCCGACCAGTCCTTATTGTACCCATTAATGCCGAGCGCCAGGCAGGGACCAACAAGTACCATATTTTAACGTCTTTTGGTATAACGCGGTCGGGGATCGAACCCGCGACCTTCCGCTCTCCGGGCGGACGCTCTAACCACTACACCACGGAGGCGGTCTTGTATCGTGTAACTCTCAATACGGTTGGTGTTTGTCCTGTCCGAGGCCGTGAATCTCGTAGAACTGGGTATTTCTCTTCTCTGAGAGTGTGATTATCGTGGTGCTGAGTATCTGTCTTGTTTAAGAGACCGACTTCCCGGTGCTGAGCATCACCTTTAGCAACCTCCATTTCAAAACAAACATCACCTGGATGCACGAGGCATATATATTCCAAAAAAGGTTCGGGAACATGAGTATGTTAGGGGAAGATTACTGTGAAGAATTACAAAACTCAGTGTATTGTAACCGTTCTAAATATTCATGATCCCTAACTTAAGTAAACAAAGCAGGGTCTCGAGGGCCTGATTTGAAATAATATCCCAACAAAGGCCTAATACGTGAAAATGTGTGAGTAAGATTTTTTGTTACACCCTTTTGTTGAGGAAAGTCTAAAGTGGTGCAGGGATCAGCCGTTTACCACTGTTGTGAAACCCAATATCATGTTGTGCTCGTGTGCATCATGATGTTTTGTCCTGAATAAGACGGCATATATCAGCTGAGTCTCGACTCTGTCCTCACCGTGTGTTATATAATCTGTTATTCCTCCATAGTGAAGAGTACAAAAGGGAAAAAACAACAACATTTATGCAGTTATTTCAGGATCTTTTTCGATTTTCATGCATATGTGAGCCGATATCACGTTTTCGTGATCAGCCAAACACTAGAGTCATAATGAGTCACTGGAACACAGCTTTGTACATCATGGTGATGTATTTTATGCACAGAGTGGAAAACTCAATCAAGTCCTCTTTGATCAGGGGAAAGTCAGTTGTACACGACAACAAGCACTCAGTAAGTTCAGTTGGGTTCATGTTGTGAAGTTTCACACTGGATTCAATTGGCCCAACATTGATCAGGCCTATCCACAGTTCGTCCCGAGTTGCATCTGTGTATCCACACACAACTACGGCGTGAGTCAGGGGGTCATTATACATCAACGTACACCGATGACACAGTCCTGCTTCACATAGGTCTCTCATTGTATCGCAGGCTTTGATGACAAAGTTAGCTTGTCGTCGGAGTGATGCGTCAAGCAATGACACCCTCCATGCCGGATGGACTTCAAGCTGGCGATGTATTGCACCTGTGCAAGCATTACACGGGCTACGTAATAAAAAGAAACATATGTCACCATGAGTGAAGTACCGGTCAATATTCATCGCCACAGGTGAAATAGAGGACGTATGAACAATCAATACATCTGAAGGGTTGACAACTTCTACACATGGTTACAGCAGCATTAACTCAAGAACATTATTTCAATGTTGATCCGACATCATTTCCTGTGTGTTTTAGTGGTATCAGTGGTGGTAATCTTTTTCCTTGGTGTACACTGGACAGCACGTAGTTATGTGAGACACAGCACAAAACAACACGAGGACATTCATCATTTTTCAAGGGAAGAAAAGCTTTTAACACTGGATTTAAAACGCGGATCTGGGCGGTCTTGTGTTTACCCTGCTCATGAACCAAGTGATGTTCCTTGTCGGCCGAATGATCTTCGTGAGTCTGCTTTCTCATCGGTAGAAGTATCTACTTTACATTAGGTATCGATACGGTAGTGTAGTATTTCAGTAATATCACGACGTGTCAGATGAATGTGAGAGGAAAACTGAAGATGAGGAACAAGGAGGCAAATGTCTATGAGTTTCGCCACCTTGGGTTTTCACACCCATATCAAACTGACATACCGTGACATAAATGATGTAATTCTGAATGTTATATTGAACCGAACCTATTTACTCCACATGTCCAGGCTATCAGATTTCAGATGCACCCGACATCCTATATTTAAGCTTAACATTCCAAGTAAGCAGGCATGACGCGAGCATCCTTTGATAAATGCTGCAGTACCAACATGCTGAAGAAAAATCATTTCTTCACCGATCTCGTTCAAATTTGAAATATAGGTTGATCATAACATATAAAAACAATATACGATTTCAAAAGTCTAGATTTTTATTTTTTAAAGATTATTGTCCAAACAGTGATACGATCCCCTATGAATGTACCCCCCGAAACATTTATGAACAAAGTAAGTGACCGATTACATAGTTTTGTCAACATATTTGTGAATGATGTTTTAATGATTATGTAACGTTTTTGTTCTACGAAGGTTTATACGAAGTACTGAAGTCATGTACTGAAAATAGTCTTGCATAAAGTGGTAATCAAGTGAAAATCTCAACATAAATGCTCAGGGTAGGCTAAAAACTCTTAAAAGAAGGAATTTGTATTAGTACATCTTTGAAAATTTCATAGGCATCTTTGTATATAGAAAATGTATTTGTGATTTTCTTTAGTTGAGAAACGGCGAATACTGAATGAAACGCTTAAATGGCTTGATCTCGAGAAGACCTTGAATGCGTCCACGACGCTTGTTCCCGGGGGATACCACCGTCCCGTTGGATGTGCTTCCGCACAGCGACTTGCCGTAATAATTCCCTACAGAGACAGAGAAGAAAACTTGAAGATCCTCCTCAACAACCTCCACAGAGTGCTTCAGAAGCAACAGGCGGAGTATGCCATATTTGTAGTGGAGCAGGTATGTTGACAGCAAAACTCACAGTTTAGGAGTTTTCCGTCGTTTATTACATTTTCAAAAAACATTTCTTAAATATAAGAGTTAAGGTTACATTTTAGTGAATGCGTTATCGTCTTACTAGAATTAATGCTTAAGAGTCGATTGCTTACAGGTCGCAGAGTCAGGCCAAAAATATTTGTGTGTGGGTGGCGGGTAAAGGTATAGTTTGGCATGAAATGCATGTGGACCCGGTTTTTTGTAAATATCACTTCATCCAATGGCCCAATCGATCTCAAACTGTGCAAGTGGATGTTTTGTCAGACAACCTAATCACATTGTAAATCACCGATTTTATGCATTTGTATTAAAGAATCTGTCTATGTAACTGTCAACAAAATAAACAGCAGAACGCAAACCGCTTGCAGAGGGAGGGAGCCAATGACCTGTAACAGCGGCAGTGTTGGGTCATAAAGGTCAACGTTCGTCAATGTAGGTCAGCTATGCACGTGACAGGTATGAAGAGGTGTTCATTTCTAGCAAATAGCCGGCGAATGACATCTCTGATGACCCTGATGTCAAAAGAATCTAACTTTGGATGCCTACTTTTTTGTACAAGGTTTTGTTTATTGGTTGTTGGTTTATTTTTCACAATTGTTAGCACGATGTTCTTTTTCAAAAGTTGTACGTTTCATGTAATCCGACACCTTATAAATCGGTTTGCTACGTTTGCTCTCTTTATTAAAAACATTCAACACATTTCAAATTAAACATTTAGCATCATCTGAATAAGCTTTCATAATGACAGCTAGAAGTAGTCAATGTGAATGATCCAAACGATCTATCACTGTGCAGTGCACAGGTAACTATCATGAACTGCACGTGCATTTACCTTTATGACCCAACACTGCCGCTGTTACAGGTCATTGGCTCCCTCCCTCTGCAAGCAGTCTGCGGTCTGCTGTTTATTTTGTTGACAGTTACATAGAGAGATTCTTTAATACAAAATGCATAAAATCGGTGATTTACAATGTGATTAGGTTGTCTGACAAAACATCCACTTGCATAGTTTGAGATCGATTGGGTCATTGGATGAAGAGATATTTACAAAAAACCGGGTCCACATGCATTTCATGCCAAACTATAGGTCGGAATCTGATTACCATTTTCATTCTAGCACGACAATGTGTGATACTCGATTCTGATTGGCTGAGAGCTCATCAAAACCGTACTTAAATGACAGTTTAAGGACCGCTAATTAAAGTGACCGATTCACCGCGTATGAATACAACGAACTCGTTGACCCTATTGTTTGTAAACAAACATGTCGGACATCGGCAATTTCTATCTCGGCAGCATCTTTGGTGTTTTTGAAGTAAAAAGCGAATGGTTTGAAGAAGAATTTCTTGACCCTAATCCCAGTGAAGAAACTACGAAGCTGGAAAATCCGTCAGCAGCGCAAAAGCGGCAGTATATTCAAAGCGGGTCCAGATCTACGTGTGTTGACGTCGACAACACACGTCGGCCCACACGTCCTAACCTGACCGCTTCCGTCCCGGCCGTAATGCCCAGTCCTTCCACTTCCACTGTCCATGTATCCCACATAAAACGTGGCATGTCAGGTCTTTTCCAAATTGGGAATAGTAGGGTGGTTATCAACAATTATTTCCGTGAATAAAGTTAGCGGCGACTAAACTTAGCGAGTTCACGGCTTGCATTTGGGCGAGTCAATTGTCATACAGTAGGGGAGATCAATAATTCGCTTGAGAAAAATCAAATAATTGTACTTGCTCACAGTATAAACTGTATTTTTTTATATTTATGTATGCTACTTGTTACAAATACAAGCATACTGGTTCCTGAAATATAGCATTTATGTTGTTGAAAATGTCTTATTTTGTTCATTACACAACCTGTCCCTCAACGGGACGATTCCAAGCGATTTCCAGGAAAAGGCCCCTTTGCGCCTTGTGTTCTTGCGCGCCAAACAGTTCGGTTTTAAAACGCTTATCAGTCGTGCTAGAATGAAGATAAAGCTACTCTGTTTTCAATTTTGCGGTCCTTTATCGTTGATTTAAGACCGCTAAATGTTTAATTTAAAAACCTCACGCTAACGCGTTCGGTTTTAAATTACATTTAGCGGTCTTAAATCAACGATAAAGGACCGCAAAATTGAAAACAGAGTAGCTTTATCTTCTAAGTTCTATTCCGTCCCTGAATACCCTCAAGGAATATTCAGGAAATATGCATTATATATACTACCCATCAAAAGTTTAGACTCACTAGTGTAAATGTAGCCACGTACTTCAGTCAACTGTTCTAAACTAGATTTTGCTAAATATTCCATAATGTTTAAAGATACTGTTTACACATGAACTGATGTATTGTAAAACAAATTCGTAATGTTGAAAACATTATTTTCATGAGTTCAATAAATCATAAAACTCGGTGAAAATTGGCGAATTCTTAACAAAACTTTACACCGAAACGCAGGTGTTCACATGCATGATATTTGCACATGCTTTTCAGAAAATCGATGCATGATCCTCGCGCATTTCATCTGCAGATGGTTAGTGGAGAAATTCATCTTCGATGTAACCGTATATATATATACATAACATATAGTGAGTGCATTAAGTGAGTCTAAACTTTTGATGGGTAATATATTTCAAATCTTAAGGTGTGTAATCAATCAATGCCTTTTGCACTTGTCTTGATAAAGCTAGTAGTTCACAAGAGATTGTTACACAAGGAGGAATGATTTGACATAGAGAAGATTAATTATAAACGTACAATGCCGTAATTACATATATTTCAGGAAAGCGGTACACCTTTCAACAGAGGATTGATTAAAAATATTGGTTACCTTGAAGCCCAGGCTCTGTGTCATTTTGATTGTTTCACCTTCCATGATGTGGACTTGGTGACAGAGAGTGAGCGGAATACCTACATGTGTGGGACGTTGGCTGTGCATCACGCTAGACGACTCAACACATGGAATTATAGGTAGACCCAACTCTCTACCATCCTACCTACAAATTATGAAGGACTGACTCACATACAGTTGTATACTTCCCGTGTGTAGAGGGCGGGAAAACTGTTTTTACAAGTGTATAAACACATGTGTGGTCAGAATGTTTTGTCAACCATAATTCCTAATAACAGTAAAGGCGACAAAACGTTTTTTAAAAAACATCTATTGTACGATTCCGAATTTATCGTGAGCTTAAGAATTCTTGCTTCAAGGCAATTAACCCAGTCAAAATATATTAAAAAACTAAATATCACACCACAAAATTGAGCTACTACATTAATCAAGGATATGAGTCTAAAATAAAAAATAAATAAAATTTAAGTGAGCAATTATTCATTTAAGGAATGTCTGTGAAAGAAAGATCGATATATAGATTTAAATGACAGACCTTTTGTGTAGGCTTGCACTGTAAATATTATTCTATTTGTTTTTGATATACATTTGCGTTTCAGGGTATTGTACACTTTCCTGTTTGGTGGAGTACTCACCTTCAACGAGACATATTTCTCGACCATCAATGGATACTCCAACTTGTACTTCATGTGGGGTGCGGAAGACGATGATCTTTTTGAAAGGTGAGGCCTTGCACCTGGAACTTCTTATTCCTGCGGTCTTTGTTTCGGGGACAGCTGTTATTAATATTTTCTAATGAAGTGTTAAGTGAGCAACGACAGACTCAAGAAACGCTCGTAAAATATAACTGTCCAGAAAACATAGGCACAACCACGGACCTTCGCATGAAACACCTCGTTTTCAATGGTTGAGTGTGTAACAACTAATCAGGAAGTTTCGGCTCCCGTCATTTATAATGAAAGGAACGATAATATTCTTCTCTTCGGTTTTGGAACATGACACGTTTGTGACGTCCAAACTTCATGTGCTACTCAACTTATCGGTCTTACCGGAAAAAAGTAAAACCTCCTTAGATATTATCTATTACGAGGAAAGAATGGAACCAGGAACATATTTCCTGGAGTTTTCGTTTCGGGGAGAGTTGTTAGTAACATTTTTTTTATGATGCGTTTAAGTTTCTCATGAAACGCTCGTAAAAAATAACTGTCCAGCATAGGCCAACCACGATACCTTCGCACTTCTAATGGTTGGGTGTAAACAACTAATCAGGAAGTTGTACTCCCGTAATTTATAATGAAAGAAACGATAACATTCTTCATTGTAACGTCCAAAATTCATGTGCTACTCACCTTTTTGGTCTTACCGGGAAAAAGTAAAACCTGCCTAGAGTTTATATATTGCGAGGAAAATTTAAAGAGTAACGCCCAAAGCAATGGTCAGTATCCGGGATAGATTGAAAAAATGTTACTTACACGTATCATACAGACACGTTTTCAAACAATGTTCGGAAACTCAACATTTATGTAATTCAACAGCTATTCATGGCGTGACAAAGTTAGATACAACAAACGCATGGAATCCAACAACACTGATACAGTGACTGCGGTTAAGACTTAAAATAATGACACCACATGGTAAGAGTCACCAGTGTATGAAATAAGCCAAAACCACAGCCAGACATCAGGGCTGGTAACTTCAAAATGTTACCAGTTCAAAATGGATTTAACCAAGATATGAGTCCGGCGTATATAACATCTAATTCTGAAATCTAACCCGTCTCGGGCTGTCGGACGGGCCTTATTTCATACACTGCTTAGTAAGACCCTGAACATGTAGATGGAGTCATGGCAAAATGATGATTTTAAACTTCTTTTGAATATTTCGGTATACAGCAAGTGACATAATATATGTTAGTGATGTTTCGGTCCCAAGGGGGCAAATAATAATAGCAAGGGTACCTGAGCTAACGATGCCAGGACGTCCAAACCTCTCTCGGATGCATTTTATTTTAACATGTAAAACATAACAACAATAGAGATATTTTGAAAAAAAAATGTTATGCTGTTTATGCTGAGATGTAAATAATCATAATGTTTACCTATACTCTCGGGTACACTGGTGAAATATTAAAGCGGTGTTCAACGCTCATATTGGCGTTAAATATTGCTGAAAAATATAATATTCTGATAATTGTCGTGAATGCACTGCTCTTTCAAATCATATTCATGTCTGAATAAATATGATATCAACATTTTCCAGAATGCGGAAGAAACAACTGAGGTTTGTAGCAAGCAAATACCCTCGTTACACTGCTCTGAACCATGAACGGGAACCAAGGCATCCTAAAGAAAAGTACGTGGAGTTGGAGCACACCACATTGTGAACCTTATTTAGTATATATTACCAGACAGTTCATTGTTGAATACCCCTGTGGATATTACACATATCCGATTGCACATATGTTCAAATTTGAAGCACATAATGTGTATTCACTGAATATTCCTTGACAGTATTCAGAAACAGAACAGAACCATGTTGCTTTGTGAAAAATATCGAATGTCTTTCGGAAATCACGATAGTTTCTGGTTATGAACATGTGCTCTTGCAATAAAATATTTTAATGTGGATTGTAATAAATAGGATAAATGTTCCATGAAAAAAATTCATGTATCTGTGAGGAATGCACAAGCATCATACTCAAGATTTCTTTCAAGCGTTGTGATGTCATGTAGATTCAAAGAGTTGATAGTTAAAGCAATGCTAAAGATATATAACATTATGTATTCACGTAAAATGTATTCAGCTTTTTAGGGACCGTTCATACCTTTTGGCTGGGGGTTGATGATGATTTTAAGGAGGGGGTGGGGTGGGGGTCCAACCCATTTCGTTCTGGGAGGTAGGGGGGGGCAGCAATTTTGTACACATGTACATGACATGCAGAGGGGGTTACTTACTTTGTACTTAAATTTTAGGGGGAGGGGGGTCAGTCACATCGTATATGCTTCTCCATAAAAATCCTCATCACCCCCCTAGCTATAAGTTATGAACGGTCCCTTAAAAGTGATGAATATTTATCTTCCAGGATGAAGATCTATGCAAACAGTTCTCAGAGGATGGACACGGATGGTCTCAACAGCATGGGAAGGTTGTACCAAGTTATATCTGTGGACTACAAGCCTCTGTATACTCGAATATATGTGTCTGTTAATCAAACCGAAATATATAATCAGCTCAAACGTTATGGGATATCACTATTAAATACAAAATAAAAGTGTTTGATTTGTTTCAAAGGAAATAACTTACTTTTTTATTCGGACCGATTCTTTGTTCATTGACCCGTATTATACACAGTACAAACAGTCGAATGACACATCAAAGAAAACACTGTGTGTTTTTGTTAGACACAGGGTAAAATTTCGCTTCTAACATGTGAAAAAATCAGATATCAAAGTGTTTGCTCCTAGACACAGGTACAATGTCTGTAATAACAGCAAGAATACCGTTTACCATTAACGTAGGAAATACTGGCTAAAATGATTCATTTTACAAAGGAGACAGTATATGAGTCTTTATCACGTGTTTTGGAATCAAAATCATTTTTTTTTATGATAACATAAATAAATCAACCAAATGTGCAGCTGCTGTAAAAATGTTGAAAACAAAGTTAGATATTGTCCCTCTTGCCATACAGTATGATCCCATTTAGTGACTCTGAATCTGCATGCATAGATCTGAATATGACTATTTTTAATGTAAGCGGGTGAATAAGGGAACTGGCTGAAACCCCAGGAGCGCCATCTGCCATCTTTAGGCACGAAAATTGCAGGTAATTCGTGTTGGTAAAAATATATCTAAACAGGTTGAGCGCTAATGAACAACCTTTGTCAGTCATGGTTACAAGGCAAGCATATGTAACGGTGCATCTGTGGAGTGTGTGTTTTACGTCTAGCTTTAGTTTTTAAGTGTTCGTCAGGAACAGCGCAGCTGATATCATCACACACCATTCTGCTACAGGTAACACTGTCACGGACGAACTGGATCTATTTATTTAGTTATTTACAACCCACCCTGTTAGAACACCGAAATATGCATAAAACTGTCAGTCTGGCGATTATTCAGTCGAACACGTGTTTCTTCTATACATAATCTGGACACTGTGATTGTATTAATTGTTTCATGTTACATACTCCAGCTATATACCAACGTTTGTAAATAAGCAAAACTGTAGCAGTCAGTGTAATGATTGGTATTGAAGCGTATTAGTGCTGGAGTCTAAGATGTTTTAATACGTATATGATAAAGATATATTAGACTGTGACACTAATACTCTTCCATAATTTATAATGTGATCATCGATCCACTCTCTTGCTACTCCAGCATTATGATTGGTATTTGGTCTGTGTTGACTCCGACTTGGACCGGGCAATCAAAACAACTGAGACCTCACAGATCCATCATTATATATGAATATATTTACCAAAAAGACCCACTTATATCCACATACATACTACTTTATAAAACATAAAATATCTATCGACTCTGTTGTCCAATGAAAAACAGTTTCATGCTGTCACGTTACATTCATAAACGGAATTAATCTTAACCTTCTGTTTAGAGCAGAAGTGAATAAATATCAACCCCTAAAAACAAATACAAAACAAAAGAACAAAACAAAACAATAAAAAAACACAAAACAAATTTCCCCAAACCCCAAACAAAGACAACAACAATAATCCAGAAACATTCATAAGAGCAATTCGTGCCCCTCTGGAAGGATTTCTAATCGAATGACAACTGTGTTGTATTTCTGATTAATCCCTTCAGTAATATACATTACTGAAGCAATCGATAACTGCTGGGTTTTTTAAAAAAAAGGCTTTAAGCTGTTTTAAACAATAACAATCATGATGATTTGTTGAAAACATATTCCAGCGTTATTATTACCAGAGCTGTTCACCATTTCCAAATGTATAAGCAAAATACGGTTTAAGAATCGCAAATGGGATTTTCTTTGTTGAACAGGCAATTAAAAGAACACTGTAAACGTGTCATGGCTACAAGTCTTATTTTTGAGTTGCCGAAAACAGAACTGCAACATTGTCAAAGGCCACGACGTTGAACTGCCGATTAAAGCAAAACTGAAGATCAATGATTGATCAGTCAGGAAGTATAAGGGAAGGATAAGAAGGAATCCATTCTTGGAATTCTGAAAGTCGCCTTCTCTCTTCTTGCATTAACGAAAACATAATACACTAAATATAATTCTCCAGAAGACACCATTAACCCAAAGGTATATTCTCATGTGGTCTGCTGGGACATGGATGCACAAGTGCCAATTCGGAGTGCAGTTCAACCTGATTATTGAACTTGCAAGTTTCGACAAGGCGGTACAAGTCTACGAATTGCGTCACATGGGGCTTTCCTCCAATGTCAGGTTCCTTGGTATACTCAAGCCAATAATGGTTGTCACCCCCCTCCCCACCCCATCCCCACACCCCCTCTCTATTATATTTTTTTGAAAATAACCATTATTGGCATGAGTATATAACTAAATAAGTGTAATAAATAACTGTGTATCCGAACAGATCCCTAGTGATACTTACAATAACTCTAGAATAGCTTTAAGACAGTTCCGATTGAGACCGGGATGAGCTGGCCAAGCCTCGGTACACAGAAGACTGAATGTTTTCGTTTGTCAACATCATCGATTCTTGTTCAGTCAGTGGTTTGCCAGATGCGGTCTCGCTTACTTAATTGACCGACGTTAGACAAGTATATTCGAGAAGATGAATGAATTAGGTGTTATATACTATATCCTCACTCAGAAAGATACTCCCTTTAGAAACATGGTCAGATGATGGTAGATGCTACTTTGTGTGCCATTGGACTGGTTTAAAACGCAATATAGATAAAAACAGACACCATTATTATGGGTGAAACCTAGAAACATAATCGGAGGCAGGTGAGATTCGAAACCATGATCATAAGTTTCAGGCGTGCCCAAGGAACGAAACTCACAATGCGATGTAAATTCCAGTGACTAATCCGACTTGGCATTTACAGCAATACAGGGGAGATAGTAACCATTTGCTTTGATATTGGAGTGAGTGAGTGGGCGAGTCAGGGTGAGTGTGCATATATGTTATGCGTTTGTGTAAACAGCAATACCATAATTGTGAAACATGATTCTTTATTGCCTAACACATCCTAGACCAAATCCGCGTCCACTCATGCATATGTTTGAAGTCGCGTAGAGCGTTGGTGTCACAGGGTAAGGTTAACTGAATAACGCGTCATCGTCTGTGTACACGTTCCATCAGCAAAACAGCTCCAGCTACAACCACACCAACAAGAAGAGAGTAAAATGAAGACTGTACATCAACAAGGGTGACAGCTTGGCCTTTTGTCTTCGCCGGCTGTGAGCACTTGTTCTCTGGCCACCATGCTTGTGTCAGACGTTCAATGACACCCGTGTCGAGCAACCGCAGAATTCTAAAAGTAAAGACATGAAACTGTTTCTGAGTGGGGTATCCATGTATTTTGATGGAATTTCAGTGGATTAGCACTGTAAACCATATGTCTGGGTCAGTACCAACAGATACTCGTGCATAAAAGTGCAAGTGGTCTTGAAGGCGATTTTCAGCTCCATTTAACCTCATCTCTCTTTCACTGTGCCCAATGAATAACTATACTCACATGTCCGAGACAATCTTCTTGTATGGAGATCCATTTGGAAAAGCAAAGCTATATCTGACAGGGAAGAAATCATCTTTGAGTATGCGCAGCTGGCAGTTACGACTCCTCCAGTAGTTGGAGAGCGGACGACCTGCTATAAAGGCATAGTCCTCTGTTAATAGTTTCTTCAGATGCACGTCTTGATAGGGACTTAGAATATCTGGATCCGATTGGCTGAATTTCTGTATACCTTCAAGAAGGAGCTTGTGCATGGTCACGTTGGACATCTAACAAAACAGACAATATACTCGTACATGTACATTTATCACTGTTTTGAGTACGCAGTGGTGACTAAAAACAATCTTAGTTTAAATTTGTCACTGTTTGAAAAAGTATTTTGAGATATAATTTATCATGTGATAAACAAATGCTGGTCATTCCGGATTTGAGTATAATACCTGACGGTAATTGACTATTTCTAATTATACTGTTCACTTGTATTTGTTTTGTTAAGTAACACAGTCTGCTATATCTGCTCCAGCTATGGCTTCATGAAAGCGGCGTAATCAAGTGTGGCCGACAGACCAGTAATTGATATATTGTACTACAAACAATAATCTACGTTGTCGGGTGCGTTTACGCGCTACCACCTGTCAGCAAACCTGACCACCCGATCCTTTGTCGTTTGTAGCTTCCAATCTGCTGTTGTAGGGTTGTATGAAAACGGATGATAAACATTGTAGATGTTTTGTTCTGAACTACAGCCTACATTGTCAGTATTCACGTGTATTCATGCATCCTTTAGGACTATGCACACATTAGTCAGATAGCGATGCATCAAATATAAGGTTATCAAGGACACCTTCATCAAAGCACGATGACGGCATTGTATTAATCTGTTGTAATATATTGAAAATGTATTGCAAATTTAATGAAAACCTGTCCCATGCGTACCTTAAACTGAGTCAGAAAGCTGCCCCCGCTGACACAGCCCCATTTGAAATTAGTCTGGGTTGCCATCTCCATTGCCGTCTCAAATGGTGGCGATTGTGTGTTGACGGTGAGGAAGGCGATGAGGTTACAACAGAAACTAGCAGTCATGAGGCACGTTAGTGCCCACCAGCAGACAAACAGAACACGACTGCGGGCATGCCGAAACATCTGTTCATTGCCTGGAAGTAAAAGCGCAATGACCATTCTGTAAGAACAGCCAAAACGTCTAGTTAATACAGACTAGGATTAGACACACTGGCCAAACAAGCAAGTGTTGTTGAAGTCAGTCTAAGATTGCATTGTCACCAATCTGCTTCATACTGCAAGATGTGTATCAGTATAAAGGGGACTATTACCCTAAGTACATTGAAACAATGTCTCATATTCACACGAATATTAGGTATTAAATCAGTACATATCCAGGCTGTGTGATGAATTTGGAGATGTAATTGTGCTCTTATTTAAAACCAGCAAACTTTCATGGAACTTTGACACGATTATGATATTTGTTTACATTTCCCCAGAACATTCACAAATATATCATGGCAGAGAAGATGATATGGTTGTTCTCGAACAGCATCTGGAAACTATTGCTGGTGACCATAGTGATAAAAAAATATATATGGCTGGTGACTTTAATGTCAGAACAAAAGACTTTGATGACTACATTCAAGATGACAGTATTAACTTGCCTATAGGTACGGCGATGACATTGATTGATATCCATCCGACGAATTTTGTATGGCAAGAGCGAACAAAGACACTGATTATAATAATTACGGTATAAAACTGACAGAATTTTGTTGTACTTTCGGGATACATTTATTTAACGGCAGACTTTTTAATGATAAAAATAGCAAATTTTACATGTTTTACACACAATGGTCAGAGTGCCGTTGATTATATGCTGGCATCAGCAGATGTATTTCCTAAGGTAACATATTTTGGTATAGCTATGCGTGATGAGTCTAACCATTTTCCATTGTACTGTTCTTTAAGAATTCATCTAAATAATTGTAATGTAAAGGAAGGACGACCTGGTGAGAGGATTGATGTAAATGTGGGTAAATGGTACTGATGATGTCAATGAATGGTCAAAATATGTTTGGATAGGAAATGAAAGCCAAATATTTACTGATAATTTTGTGTGTAACCTATCTGAGGTTTCTGAAGATTTGTGTGAGCAGATTCATACGGATACAGACAAAGCTTTAGCATCTATTATTAGCATCTACCAATCAGCAGCAGTCAATTCTAAGAGGATTTATCGGAGTAGTTGGGGTAGAAGCAATAGTCAACCTCCATGGCGGGACAGGGATTTAGAAGATCTTAAGCAGAGAAAGTATCAGGCACTTAGAGCTCATAGAGATAATGGTAAGGATATTTGTGAGTTCAGAACATTAAGAAATTTATTGGCAAAATTAGATTGAAGCAAAAGAAATATTTATCAGCTGAAAATGAAAACAGACTTAATTGACTGTAGAAATAATGCTAAAGTATTTTAGAGGGAGCTGGACAAGTCATTTTAGCAATCTTTTATGTGCAGATGGTATTACTAGTGATTTCAGTCAGGATAATTTGGAAAGTCATGTAAATATATATTCAGTCTTAATGCTCCTATTACCCATATGTAAGTTTGTTTCATATAGATAGGATCGGATTAAACAAATCACCTGGTCCTGATGGCTTACCTGTAGAGTTTCTAAGGAAAACTAAGAATCATATTTCACCTTTATTAGTTTTAGTGTTCAGTAAGATATTTGAAAGTGGCAATTTTCCCAAAGAATGGGGTAAGAGTATTATATGTCCTCTGTTTAAGTCTGGGGATAGGCATTCTCCTGATAATTATCGAGGAATTTCTTTAATCGATGCAGTATGCATAGTGTTTTGCTCCATTCTTAACTATAGGCTTCAGAGGTGGTGTAATGAACATGATGTTATTGACGAAGCACAGTTTGGCTCCAGAGCCAATCGTTCAACTATTGATGGCATATTCTGTTTGCACTCTGTTCTCTTTTCAAAGGCCTTTGACTCAATTAACTATGATGTATTGCTGAGTACCTTGGAGGCAGTAGGTGTGGGTGGTAATTTTATGAAGATCATAGTATCGATGTATTCTAACCTGACAGCTTGTGTTGGACTCACAAACGGTTTGTCAAATTATTTTAGTTGTAATATTGGTGCATTTTAAGCCCACAAATGTTTATCATCTTCATAAATAAGCTGATAGACTGTGTGAAGGAGAGTGGTGGCAGAGGTGTTTATTTATCTCATACTTTTGATAGTATGTTTGTTTTTATGTTTGCCGATGATGTGACATCTATGGCAGATTCATGTCTACAGTTACAAAAAGATCTATGCTCTGGAGCTTTTTTGTGACAGTACGGGTATGAAAGTTAATCTGAGTAAGACAAAGGTAATGGTTTTCCGTAATGGTGGTCCATTGAGGAAATATGAAAGATGTTTTTTCAAGGGAGATCCAATAGATGTCTTTTCGTCATACAAATACCTTGGTCTTGTTTTTACACCCAAACTCTGCTGGAGTAAGGCACAGGATTCTCTTGCAGCACAGGCAAATAAAGCATTATTGGCTATGTACACTTATTCAAGGAAATTCGGCAGCTTATCATGTAAGGCCGTGTTTAAGATATTTGATGCTACAGTTGTTCCAATATTGTGTTATGGTTCAGAAGTATGAGGTGTAAATTATTGTAAGAAAATCGAGAGTTTTCTAATTAAATTATGGAAATGGATTCTTAAAGTTGGCAGGAATACTACAAATAATATGGTTCTTGGAGAATGTGGAAGAGTCCCACTTCAGTATATCTATACGACCAGAGCGGTTAAAGAACAAATACACTTTGTTTTTTTTACTCTTTTAACTACTACATATGAAAGATTTGTGGTTAGACTTATGCGGAACACCAAATTTATTCTTTAAAAACTTGTGGTTAATTAATACCGAGCGATTAAAAGTTGCCAAAAAGTCGCCTGCTTCACTCTCGCCCGCCAACGAAACCACAGACAGGTTACGTAACTCTGTCGCCAGAGCTCTGCAGTGACGTCATATGAGGAACGATTTTCAGTTAGTGGTATAGAAAGTGTGTAGCACGCTCATCATTTTGATGATTTCTCGACATCAACGACGACATGCCGAATCGTTGCTTTGTCGTCAATTGCTCCTAGACCGAAGTGAGTAGTTTTAATGACGGGGTTTCATTTATAGCGATGCCAGTTAGTGATTTATGTATTTGTACCCCTCTAGAGTATATGTGATCTTTAAGTACTGGACAAAACTATGAGAATGAAAATAGGAATATGAATGAAAATAGGCTACCTTTGCAATGCTATAATATGATGTTGTTACAGGATGAAGGTGGAAGAACAAATTGGGTTACACATATCAAAAACATTTTGTTTAGACTTGGCTTTGAATTCGCTTGGGTTGCACAAGATGTAGGGCACCTCGATACCTTTAATTCGGCATTTAAGCAAAGCTGTTTGATAATCTCCATCAAAAGTTGGTTTCAGAATTGGGAGTTTTATCAAAGACACAATACTATAAGCAGTTTAAATCATTATTAACCCATTTATGCATAGGGTCTTAGATTTTCATCACATTTTGTGAGCTGATTTCTTTTGGCAAGCAATGAAAGGTATGAGGTGTCATTTTACCAGTAAATAAATTTTTCCATTCTTTTTTACACTGCAAAAGTACGCCCCATAAATGGGACAATATGCAGATGAGTGAACTTAAATTAGGTAATTTATTAGGCTTAGGTGGGGAAATCAACCTCTTAAATCTTAAAAATTGACTCTTTTCATTTGAAAGCTTTCATGGAATAAAACTAAAATGGCTTTTATATGAAATGTGTATTAACAAATTGAAACCTGAACATTTCATGGACATTCTTGATTCCATTAAATGTTTTCTGATGAACTAAACATCATAGTTGATGAATGTATCCTTAAGTCATCTGCTGTTCCTCACATATGTAAACCATGGGTACAGGGTTATTTTACAATGTTAGGTAGGTGCATTCATACAGACATCTGGAGGAAGTGAAGGGCCTTGGGTAAGTATTTCTTGATGTGTTATACTAAATCATGTAAATCTTTACTTCTGTTTCTTACATAAACCACATTTTATGCTAGTAAGTAGATTATTGGTTTCCAAGTGCCAAACTAATCAATTATTGATCATGCGTTCCATGGTTTTGCAAACGCAGCTAGTTATTGAAATTTGTCGATAATTTGAATGATCGGTATGGTCACGTCCAGGTTAAGGAATTGTAAAAATTATAGCATCACGGCATGAAGAAGGAAATTCCACTGACGTCCAAATGCTATCAAATATATTTAAAAGGGTTTCTAAACACGATTCTGTAAGTGCTTCGGGAGTTGATACTAAATGTTATCAGTTCCTGCAGCAGTATCTTGAGCTTGTTTGAAGCTCATGAATAGAAAACATTTCATTATAATCTTCCCCAGCAGAGGACTTAGGGATACATTCATCAACTATGATGTTTAGTTCATCAGAAAACATTTTATGGGATCAAGAATGCCCATGAAATGTTCAGGTTTCAATTTGTTAAAACACATAGTTTCATATAAAAGCCAGTTTGGTTTTATTCCATGAAAGCTTTCAAATGAAAAGAGTCAATTTTAAGATTTAAGAGGTTGATATCCCCCACCTAAGCCTAATAAATTACCTAATTTCAGTTCACTTATGTGCATAATGTCCCATTTTTGGGACGGCACTTTAGCGGAAAATTGAGTATGGAAAGAATGGAAACCATTTTCATTTTATTTTTCTATTTGAACAACGAAAGTTTAAGCACATTATAATGAACTTACATAGTTAAAATAGGGACCAATAAAAAATAATCCTATCTCACACTTCGCCGAATTGACAGGGGACCTGCCTTGCCACTGCAAGTGGCCATGCTTAAAGAACTTAAACTCTACAAGTGATGTAAATGGTTAAACCACTAAACAATTTACTCAGCTTCATGCACGTCTATACTGCAAGTTTCTGTATTCAACTATAGGAGAGAAATGCTTCCTAGAAGTACCCGTCCCCAAAAAGGGACGATATGCACCAGTGGGTTAAATGTTGAATTGGTATACTGAACCACAAAACAAATGTCGCACCGATAGCGGTTTCTTAAAGCACACACTTTAATTCACTCTAATTAACAATCAAAACCAAGGATTGAGTTCAAATTTGACAATTATGGTTAACACATTTTCGGGAATCACATTTAGAGTTCACACAAACAAAATGACCAAAAATGGTACAGTAAAGATACCTCAAAGTCAGTATTGTGTGTGATGTAAATCACTTCATGTTTGAGTTCAAACAACGCTGTATAGATATTAATATACAACACTGGAATAGTAAAATAAGAAACTTATCATTTCTTGTAAATTATAGTACATTTAAGTCACTCCTTGAACCTGAACTGTATATTTCCTGTGGCGCATTACACAAAGATCTTATGCAAATGTTGATCAAATTCCGATGCCAATCACATAACTTGAATATACAAAAACAACGTTTTTCAAAGATAATTGTCCCATATAAAGAATTAGTTTGTAACATTTGTACTTTAACCGTGCTTGAAGACGAATATCACTTGTTGCTAATATGTCCATTTTATAACCGATGCAGATCCCAATGTATTCCAGCCTATTTCTACAGCCCACCTTCAATTGTCAAATTCCGAGCCCTTATGAAGATACACAGTGTCACTGTTCTTAAAGGAATATGTATATTCCTGAACCAAAACCTACGTTAAAATAATTGTATTATGAATTATATTTCAACTCTACACACCATGACAATGTTGTATTACCTGTTGTACTCTTGGCCACATGGCCTTCAATTCTGAATAAAGTGATCAAAGTGATCAAAGTATTGTGTGTGGCCTCTATGGGCATCGATGAAAGCGTTGCATCGTCTGTACATGGAATGAATTAGCCGGTTTATGAAGGCCATAGGCACTTGTGTCCATACTCTGTGAAATGCCTGATCGAGTCCAGCAGCAGTTGTCGGCCTTGGCTGCAGGTCATTCAGTCTTCTTTGAATCTCGTCCCAAAGGTGTTCTATTGGACTCAAATCAAGACTGAGTGCAGGCTATTGTAGGGTTTGGAGTCCAATGTTACTCTGGCAGTGTGGGCACGATCTTTGTCTTGCTGGAAGATGTGATTTCTGTTAAGGTCCAAAATGTGGTACAAAGTGGGGTCTTATGACTTGGTCAATATAGCGAGCAGCTGTCACGTCATTTCCTCATCCTGGACCGAGATTCTGGAACACCACGGTGCTAACTATCTGGTTCAGACCGATTGCACCCCCCCACCATGATGATTGGACCACCCCATGAGTCTTTTTCAACAATACTCTATTGGAAAACAGTTCCCCACGCCTTCACCATACTCTCACTCTGCCATCGACTGTCGAAACACAGTATCGGCTTTCAGGAGATAAAAAGCACAGTTCTCCATTGTCGATAACGCAAATTTCAATGCTGACTTGCCCATTGCAGTCGGTTTTGGCGATGATGAGCGGTGAGGACAGGACTGCAATATGTGACAGCAGAGGTTTCTCCCACGCAAACGTCGACGCATTGTATCGGCATTGATGGGTCTGTTGTGAGTCCCAATGGTCTGGCGTGCTGTTTCCGTCTCTCTGGGGAAGCGATCCTTGAGATGGTGTCGGCCTTGACGTTGTGATGTTACTGAAGGTCGCTTACTGCGTGGACGGTCTTGGATGCTGTTAGTGACCTGATACCGCTCCTGCAGTCGGTTGACTGTCCTAACATGAACATTAAAATGATTGGCTACCCTCCGTGCAGTCTGCCCAACTTGCAATCGTCGCAAGACTTGGTTCCTCCGATCTCTCGTAAGTCGTGCCATGACGATTGTGTCAAAACAAACATGATTTCAGGTGAGTTTGGGACTCGCTTTCATTGGTAGGGTTGTCACTATATGCACGTGCCTTTTCATTTTCACGAATGTCATACGGAACCTTTTACCACGTCTGCCAGTTTAGGTGCGTTTGGTCGATATGCTTTTTCATCGGAAAACACACTGATGTTGGTAATAACTGTCAATTTGGATTGAAAAACATGTTAATAAAACGATACAATCATAATAAAAACACCATTTTGTATGAACAAAATCTTGCATTTGGTTTTGAAAAGCGACGTTTCTTTTGTGGTTCAGTATATTTATCATCAGATTTTCCTTTTTGTATTGGGTCTGCCATCGCAAGATTTAGATGTTGTACTTATGGACTAGCAGTAGAAACAGGCCGTTATGATGGTACTAAATATATAAGGCGACTCTGCCCTTTTTTGCCTTAAAGATGTATTATCTTTTGTGGAAGATGAATATCGTGTTCTATTTGCAACCATAAGAAGCCCTTATATTTTCAAGCATGTAACTTCAGTATCACATCAGTCTTTTATGTATATTATGGCATCAGATAAATGTAGTGTTGTCTATGATATTGGTCAGTTCTTACTTAAGGTGTATAAACTTAGAATTGCCCTTACACGTGAAATTGATGTGTGATATGTGTACATATGACAGGTAAATATATATACATGACAGCTCTTGCCTGGAATAGTTCATGGACTCTATGTTGTGTATTTATGCGCGGATTGTGAAAGTTAATCCAACGCCAAGACTGCATTTTGGGCCAATGGCCTTGATATTGGAATAAAGGTCTGTCAGTCTATCTGAATCACTAACCACTAGGCCTAGACTTAGTGGGCATTGCATTCTAGAACATTGGCTTTCTAGATATTTTACAATATTCAAAGACCGTGTGTTGAGGTAATTGTTCATTCTGCTACAATACTTTACTTTCAATATCTAATAAACTCCTCACAACGGAATCATGATATCATGCCCCTTCCCCCCGACACACACACACAGACACAGACACTCATACTCACACGCACGCACACACGCACACATATACACACACTGTGTATCTACACAGAGAAATCTGAACGTTATGACTACTCCGTCCCAGTAGAGACACCAAATACGATGGTCGCCAGCTAACATCGAAGAAGAGCTTGTACTAATCTCGCACTCACCTTGACGAAAAGGTACTCCAAACATGTACCAGAAAATATCAGCTCTCTTTAGCGTCCTTGTTGATGCCACTGCATTTTTACAATCCGACAATTCCACAGCACTGACCATAAGAAACACGACGATGAAGGCCAGTGTTAAGCACACATACACCTCCCACTTAAAGGGCCAAGTGAACGTCCAGATCTTCCTTGTGTCATCTGCAGACTCTCTGACTATAATGCTCGTTGTGTCCATCATGAAGGGGAAAGCAAAATCTACAATTTTGTCTCGTTCGTACGTTATGCTTATATCCGTTATTGCCATCTCTACTGCCTGACAAAAAACAAACACGTGACAAAAACATAAACTGATGAGTAAATGAGTGAGTGAGTGAGTTTTGTTTTACGCCGCTGTTACCAATGTGGCAGCAATATCACGGCAGGGGACACCAGAAATGGGCTTCACATATTGTACCAATGTGGGGAATCGAACCCGGGTCTTCGGCGTGACGAGCGAACGCTTTAACCACTAGGCTACCCCACCGCCCCGACGGGTACATTAAAGGTATTCACTTGAAAATTGGATTTGACCAGAAAACAGCTTACGTCATTACAACTTTTTCTAGGCTGAAAACAGTCGCCGAAAGGCGACAAACTTACTATGACACCACTAAATGCATCATCATCCAATAACCATTTCTTGTTTGTGGATTTTTGTTCCACCATAAAACTGCTATTAATGTTTTTTTGTGAACTCAGTCCGTTTGTATTTGAGGGTTTACAAACACCCACATCTGTTCTGATCTGAATTTAATGACATAATTCAAGCTAAGGTGACGATATATAAAATAAACTTTCTGATATGTAATACATAAACTTATCCACAAGTGAGAGTCAAATCCAACATGAATTAAAAAGTGCATAATAATGTTGACAACGAACCTTATTTTGCAGCTGACCCACAAGTCCTGACCATTTACCATTGCCAATATGTGCTCCGTACTGTTTGTCTTCCGGCTGAACGAATTCGTAACTACAAACATAAGATGATAGGTTATGGACCTGGATCTCGTACTGGTGTAATGTCCTTTTCGCTGTATATTTACATGTCCATCAGAAATTGTAGGGATTAATGCCTCTGGATCAGCGTGCGACACTGTTTGTTCCATCTAAAAGACCTGTATTCACAATGGTACTAAGAAACATCGATCTTTGTTATTGATGTCGTCCCCACCAAATATAGTTCCTTCTGTTGTGTCAATTTGCCAAATATTCTGTTTCTTTCAAATTACTTTATTCTATTGATACGTATTATCATTTATCTACACAATATAACATAATGCTCGCGTGTACGCCAGTGAATAATCTGTGTGGACTATCCAATGGATTGGATTCCAATCGGCGTTGAAAGGAAAAATAGAACATGATAAGAATGCTGTCCTGTGCTTTACAAGTAAGCAACGTGTGAATCAGTTTATGGTGTCTCGGTCGGTGTAATACGGAGTAAAATCATATTCACTCCAATCCAAGGCATACTCACGTAAAGTTCAATCTGTCCCTTACAATGTTGAACAAGTCCACACAGAAACCGGAATAAGTTTGATTGCGGTGAAAAACGAATGGAGGCCACTGAAAGCAATAATTTATGTACCATATTTCTGACGAGCGATAAGCCCTGAAAAGTTTACGGAGGTATTGTCAGCATCACACCCGGTTAAGACTCAGACCTGGATCACTTAGGGTTTTGTCCAACAACATGAAGTTAACACGCCGTCATATGAAACTGTCATAATTTTACAGCTATATTCTCCAAAACAGTGTTTAAACCAAACCCAGTCCATCATTCAATGTCTAAATCAAGATAAATGTATTACGAATATGGATCAAAGAACTCATAAATATGTCTAATAATTTCAGAGGTTGATACAACGCTTAAGCAATAGCAAGTTCAACTGTAGGGATAGTTTGAAAGGGAAGAAGAGGCGGTCGAAGAATAGAACCCAGCTATGCTTTGCGTTTCCTATTCTTGTTGTTGCTTACTATATAGCTTGCTTTGTACATTTAACTCACCTCAAGAGTCCCCACAAGAAACTTGCGTCCATTGAAGCCTCGTCGACTGTTTGGGTAAAGGTCCTCGTCTACGGACTTTTCTTGTTTGGTAATTCTGTGAAAATGGCGTCCTTCCTTACTCCACAGCAATGTGTAATAGATTAACCGTTCCTAGAACAAAGTGCTTTTATACACGTATGGGCTGACACTGCTTGGTGAGATTATGTTCAGTAATTATCACTGAGAGTTTTTGTGTGTGTGTACGCGCTGTCCGTAGAGCCCCATACTAACGTACGAACTCAATGATTCAAACAATTTAACACCACGTCATTGGCCCTTTTTTACTTTAAGTCGTGAGAGAGACGTTTCGATACAGATTCTTGTACCGTTCTCAAGCGGGAACATAACATAAAGTGTGTGCGTGTGTGCGTGTGTGTGTGTGCGTGTGTGCGTGTGTGTGTGTGTGTGTGTGTGTGTGTGTGTGTGTGTGTGTGTGTGTGTGTGTGTGTGTGTGTGTGTGTGTGTGTGTGTGTGTGTGTGTGATGTATACATACTGAATGTAACAAGGAAAACAACAAACTAACATAATCGGCTTCTTGGGAGTAAGCTGATAAAGCCAGTTAGTAAACAAATGGAAGCACATGGAAGCCAGATGTGCCCTTTTCTCATTGATTGAAGATTATTCACAAAATATATAACAAAGACCACATCTCGTATTGGTTAATGTTTTTTTCTAGCAGTTTCTAGAATATATTGGAATATAGTGACGCGCAGACTTCAATGTTGACTTAGCTCCATATGTGTTTATTTACTGAGACATTTGAAGTATAAAATTAAAATGATAAAAAAATAATTTTCTATATCCTTTGGTTATTTTATCTTATTATTATATCTGAAATCTCTGACCTAACGATGGAATTTGTCACAGCATCGAAATCGAAGACAGGGAATGCCATTCCCAGTTGGTACAGGTTCTATATTATGTTATATGACTACATGTTATTGATCAAATCAAACACTAAACATACCGAGATACACGTCACGGGATAACAATACAAAGAAAGTAAGTATTGACCACGAAAGAACATCTGATAATACTTTCTGAAATTGTTCGTCTATGCCGCTTCCGTTATCTTTTGTCTTCTGTGGTCAATAAGCGTCTTTGCTTGTCAGCGAATTCTGTTGTGTATATAACTCCAGGAGTTGATGATTTGTTCCACGTGTACAATACTATCTCAGGTTACTGGAAATTGCAGTAAAGGCACCCTATATGTTCAGGCATTTTCTTATGTTGTATCGTATTGCCTCCCCATTCTCTTCTTACTACATATGCATTCATGACCAGCTCGTGTATTCAGCGAAAAGCCGAATGGTGACTCGTGTCCCCCAAGAAGGTTCCATGTTGGCGTATCAGAACTACTTTATACAAGAACGACAAGTCTATTTCTGCTTAAATCCAATCGTGATGAGCCTTAAAGAAGCATGCGACTGTAACCACTTTGATAGGTTTAACAAATAAATATAACACTGATAGTATTGTTTGCTGTAAATATGTTCTAAGATAATTATTCTCAGCTGCTCTTCTTTTATTTCCATATGTATATACCCAGTTACGGTATTGAAGCTAAAACAGAGGTTGCAGTTAAATGTGTCTTTAGTTTAAACATTAAAGAATCGAAAATGTGATTTTACCTGGACTCATTTGTCAATACAAAATGAAATTATACTGAATTTTTACCGAGGGAAAATGAATTACCCATAACAAATCATGTTTGATCGGCACTGTTGTTAATACAATAAATGCATTTGTCAGGGATCTTTATAGGTCATCCACATACGTTAAGGATTTGTGCAGGGGCAGATAACGATCTAAATTAAATAGATCGTCACAGAGAAAATAAACTCACAGGAAAACATGTGAGCCGTTATGTAAACAAACGGACCTTTTGTACTCAGGATGTTTTTATCAAAGTATCTCAATCCTTACGCGCAATCTGCACTGTTTGTTTTATTTTATCAGATAACATTCATCGATTGAGGAACGAGTTTTCATGCAGACTACGGAAACGGTCGAGTTCTGACGAAATCAATGTTCACACACTGAAGAAGTCTTTACGTTCAGTTCTGTATATGTTCTTGTGTTCTCAGTAGTATGGTAACAACCACCCAGGTGCCAAACGCCATTAGTAAGTGTACATGTGTCTGATTATCAAACATGACATGCATACTGATCGAATTTCAAATCCATACACACTTAACCACATCCGAAAACCTGGTGCTGACGACAAAAGGCTCAAACAATACCTTTTTACGAAACAATGACATATGCCATAGACAAACATTACAATTACTTTCACAAGATATGAGTAATTTCTTGAGTACTTGATCATTTCTTGTAGACATTAATGTTTTTTAAAAAGGCTTAGGTTGACACAAACCATCTTGAACTTTTTTCTTATACGAAATCGATTTCACGACGACAGAGTTTATTCCATAGATGTTTAGTTTGGTTAAAAGTAGTCGATCTTGAAGGATGAAAGCATGGTAGGGAAACCATGACAACACTAGAAACATGTGGGCTGGCGTTGTCCTGCAGCAGAAAAATCCCTAATTTAGGGGCTGATGACGAGAGGCAGGAGACGTTGGAGAATTTCTTCTCGGCGTCGTAATGCTGTCAAATTGCCTTCCCCGAGTAGCATGTTAGTTGATATGGTGTAGGATATAGTTTCCCTCATCATGACCTCGTCACTCGGAATCTTTTCACTTCAACAACACAGTTTTTATTACGTTCATTGTTACTTTATGTACACATCTCGAAGATGTATTGAAAAACGAGATTCGCCACTGAACCAAACTCTACTCCAGTATCTCAGATTTCATGTCTGAGTGTTCACACAACACCGTCAGTCTTGGCGTCGTGGAACAGCCCCGCAATACGTCCCGAAATCCAAACTCACAAAGACGATTACGTGTTGTTTGAGCTGTTCCCCAACGGAGACCAGACACATTTGAAACGGCGACCGCTCCTGTAACGATCCAGATTTCAGAACTGGATGAAGCTGTCCTGAGCTTCAAATTTGATCCTTGGTGTGGTTAAAGATCATGGGCGATCTGTTTTAGACCCATCCCGTTTGTATCTGTCTCCAAAGACATGAAATTAGAACTTAAAATGGCGGTTAAGTCATGGCAAGGCGTCCAGTCGTGGCATATCGAAAATTAAATGCAGTTTATGTGACAGTAAACGGTTTTTCGAAAGAATACGACCCCTCTATACAT